TGATGATAATAGTGAGAAAATGAAATTTCAGGAAAAGTAGTTTTTAACGTAAAATTTTCGTGGTCTTCGATTTTAAAAGTTTTCTCACCATGCAAGATGATAGAAATTTCAACAAAAAAATTCGAATAAAATCCAAAGAAGCCTAATTCTTCTAGTAAGAAGTATCCTAAAAATAATAATTAAACAACTCTAATGGTGGCCCGTGGCCAGATTGACGATCTTTCCCGACCTCTGCGTAGAGTCTAGCCTGTTACTGCATTTGCCGCTTTTAGTGACTACTAAGCTTGAATCCAAGGGAACAGGAGTTAAAAATTTTCGGTCAAATACATACTGTTACTACATATAAGTGCCCTTAATTTGTCGCCTGGACTCTTACCAATTTGAACGCTCTAGGTCCATGGACAAAGGAGTCAGCGCACGCCCCGCCCCCTGTGAGCGGAGTACATTTCCGCCACCTACCATGAGCATTGCTATTTTGCCGCTTTTAGTGACTACTAAGCTTGAACCCTTGGGAACAGGAGTTAAAAATTTTCGGTCAAATACATATCTGAGCTCTCGTTAAGGTAAGGTCGCAAAGGGAAACGTCACATGATGATCGAGGGTTGTCGAATCTTCACCACTTTATAGGAAAGAACTCTGCTCCATTACAACTATCTTGACACAGGACAAAGGCAAAAATATCATTTGAACGTTCGCGTCCTACGCGAACATTTCCTTCGAGAGACTCTCCCCTTCCCTAACCTGGGCGTTATGCATGCGGCCCATAGAAGAGCGAACTAAGATAGCCAGGAATAAAACTCATTGACGACCATTCAACAAAATACGAATTGAGTTTTCTAAGCTTGAAGGAGCAATGGCTACAGTGTGGTTATCAAAGCTGCTCACTTGTCAAAATGGCTACAGTATGGTTATCAAAGCTGCTCACTTGTTATGAATGGAATACAGGAGTGATAGGCTGCACCGGTACCAAATCCATATTCCAAGGAACAGTATTGGCTCAATTCCTGGCAGTGAGACATACATTCTTAAGAAGCCCTTACTCATACACGACTGACCTTTATAAAACTCTTGAAACAAGAATCCAGTAAGGATTTGAGAAGCGTATCAAGTGGATTCCCTTCGCAAAATGGCTACAGTGTGGTTATCAAAGCTGCTCACTTGTTATGAATGGAATACAGGAGTGATAGGCTGCACCGGTACCAAATTCATATTCCAAGGATCAGTATTGGCTCAATTCCTGGCAGTGAGACGTACATTCTTAAGAAGCCCTTACTCATACACGACTGACATTTATAAAACAATTGAAACAAGAATCCAGTAAGGATTTGAAAAGCGTATCAAGTGGATTCCCTTCTAGCGCTTCTCATCAGCTTTTCTTTGATTTTATCCCAAGTCCGCCCCTATAATGTACCCTACCATCCCAATTCACACTTCATACCTAAGTGGCAAGGTTGACTGACAGCAGGAATATTCAATGGATTTATGAATCCTGCCTTCTCCCTGCCAGTTATTTCCACCTTCTACAGTGCGTTTCATAATTATAAGGTCACCCTCAAATTTTGCTTTTTCAGAAAAAGCAGTCATTAAGGATTTTTTCTAGCATCATGAACGGATTCCCCAGCACGAATAACATAGGTTTCCTTTTTTAGCCGCAGCTGCATTGTTCTGAACCTTCTTAGAACAGTTTATCGGTTTTTGCACCGTTTCATAATTACAAGGTCACCCTGAGAAAGTGAACAATTATTCATGGGAGAGAGAAAATTTCGTGTTTAGAGATACTTATAAAGGTAAGCATGTGTAGCAAATGCATTTCTAAACCTGACTGTCAGCATGGCTTGTGGTCATCTGCTTTCCACTGATGAGAAGGCTTATCATGAAGGTGGGCTCAGTACTCGAACAATCTCCTGGCAAATAGGGAGATCCCCTCGGTCCATTCAAAGATTTCTGGAGGGCCCTGATGTCCCTAGATATAACACCGACTGTGGACACCATGAAAGATTACTCTTCGTGACGAGCGAAAGATTCTGAGGCCCAACAGTACGTCCTCCTTGAACCAGATCTGATCGGAATTAAACCTGTCTGTGTCGAAAACTACAGTCTGGAGAGCAGTGAGAAGATGCGAGAACATCACCAGGCAAGCAATGGAGAAGATGCCACGAATCACCGGTCGCCACAGAGAGGCTCGACTCGGATTTGCAAAGATGAACCTAGGGAGAGATTGGACAAAGGTGGGTCTGCATCAAAATCTCACCATAGAGCTGAATAATTCCTATTCAGGTCGTCTTTTCGGATGAAAAGAAATTCAATCTAGACGGCCCTGACGGAAACAAGCGGTACTGACGCGACTCGAGAAAGGAACCAGTCTACTTCAGCCATGGCAGTTTCGGTGGAGGAAGTCTATGGTGTGGGGTGCATTCTGCAATGATGTCGTGTTGGATCTACCTGTCATGAGCTAGTATGGATTTCATGGATTACTAAAACGTGTTGGAGCATCATCTAGTACCCTTTCTATGCCATCGCCGTCACCTCAACTATGTCTTTCAACAAGACAACTCCTCCACTCATGTGAGCCATGCAGCGGATGGCTCACATGAGTGGCTGCAATGCCAATAAATAAGCGTCCTGCCATGGCCAGCCTACAGTCCCGATCTCAATCCCATGGAAAATAACTCGGGCATAATAGACAGACAAGTTTATGCGAATAACCGTCAGTTCCAGAACACAGAAGAGCTGAAGCGGGCGATTATCGAAGCATGGAGAGCAGTCGATGAGGAGTATCTTCGAAACCTAGTTTCCAGTATGCCACGCAGACTCTTTGGTGTTGCTCTTAAACAAGGAGGAGCTATAGATTATTAATTGTACGTATGCCATCAACGTTAACCCATTGACGACCGCGTTGTTCGCCGGAGGGCCGCACCATATCGTGCTCCTGTAGGTTTTATCTTATTTATCAAGCGTTCCTCTAATTTTTCATGTTTTCTAGTATCATCTGAGCTCACAACCTTCTACAGAATCCTGAGGCATCGTGGTACAAAAATCATTCACTTCCAACCACAGTTATAAGAGAAATTAAAAGTTAATGTAAAGACAGTGTAAAAGATGCTTTCGCCAGTGGGTTAATCATTATCAGAAATCGTTTCGGTGAATTTCTACGAGTTTTGCATTTGGAAATGCTAGTGACGACCGTCTTTTCGAAATATCTCATTTTTTGAAGTTGTTCAACGATCGAAAAATTCACCAAGGTAATGTACTCCTTCGAAAAAAAAACTTTACAATTGCAAAATTAGAAGATTTCCCAGAATCACACTGTATGTAATTTCATTTAGGACT